CCCGCCTCGGCCTCCCAGAGTGCTAGGATTGCAGGCGTGAGCCACCGCGCCCGGCCTAAATTTATTTTTAATTCTCATAAAATATCTGTAATATACCATCTTAACCATTTTTAAGTATACACTTCAGTGCTTTTGAGTACATTCACATTATTGTACAAACATTACCACCAAGATCTCTAGAATTCTTTTTCATTTACAAAACTGAAACTCTACCCATTAAATGATAATTTCCCATTCTTCCGTTCTTCTCAGCCCCTGGCAAATCACCATTCTACTTTCTGTCTCTGACTTTAATTACTCCAGGTATTTCATATAAATAGAGTCATACAGTATTTGTCTTTTTTCAAAAATTGTTTCAAGAAACACATGACATGAAATTTATTAACCATTTTTAAGTGTACAGTTTAGTAGTATTAGGTGTATTCACATTGTTGTGAAATAGATCTCCAGAACTTTTTCATCTTGCAAATCTGAAACTCTGTACTTATTAAACAGTAACCCCGTTCACCCCCAGTCCCTGTAACCATCATTCATTCTGCTTTCTGTTTTATGAATTTGACTATTCTAGGTACCTCATATAAGTGAAATCATGTAGTATTTGTCTTTTCGTGACTCACTTATTTCACTTAGCATAATGTCCTCAAGGTTCATCCATGTTGTACTTCCTTTTTTAGGTACAATAATATTCCATTGTATGTATATACCACATTTTCTTTATCTATTTTGTCCAAGTTGTCAGTTGATAGACACTTGGGTTGCTTTCACCTTTTGGCTATTATGAATAATGCTGGTATGAACATGGGTGTACATATATCTCTTTGAGACTACTTTCAATTCTTTTGAGTGTATACCCAAAAGTGGAATTGTTGGATTATATGGTAATTCTATTTTTAATTTTTTGAGGACCCACCTTATGCCATATTGTTTTGTGCCATTTTATATTCCCACTAGCAGTACACAAGGGTTCCAGTTTATTTTTTATCTTAATTTGAGACAGGGTCTTGCTCTGTTGCCCAGGATGGAGTGTAGTGGTGTGATCGCAGCAGCTCACTGCAGCCTCAAACTCCCAGACTCACGTGATCCTCCTGCCTCAGCCTCCCTGATAGCTAGTACTACAGGTGCATGCCACTATGCCTGGCTGATTTTTTATTTATTTTTTTGTAGAGATAGGGTCTTGCTGTGTTGCCCATGCTGGCTTTGAACTCCTGGCATCAAGTGATCCTCCTGCCTTGGCCTCCCAAAATGCTAGGATTACAGGCATGAGCCACTGCACCTGGCCCCAATTTTTCTGTGTTGTCAACACTTGTTATTTTCTGTTTTTTTTTTATTTTGGTAGTAATATCCATAGTGTCCTGATGGATGTGAGGTGTGTAGATTCTTGATCAGAGTCACATTTTACCCAAACCGATTTTCTAGCCCTCTGAGAAACATACTGGCATGAGAGAGTGAAGCATAGAAGCCTAGCTAGGAGCTTACATTGACTTAGGTTTGCAGTAATGAGGAACTGGATTAAATGATGTAATTTTGAGAGGTGGTGGAAAAATGGAAAGAATTCATTTGAATTTAAGAAATTAAATAAGAAATGACATGAGAATGATTTTACATTTCGAACCTGAACATAGAAATGTGGAAGTAAAGGGAAGGAGAGGAAGAATAATTTGTTGATCTTTAGAGTTTTAAATGTTGGGGAATATTGTTGTACAAATAAATGCCTGACAGGGCAGCTTAAAATATGGGAGCATATGATAGATGAGAAAACAGGTCTGGAAACTTGTTTTTGTGAGAGCCATTGGGATAGAAGTCATAGTATTTTTCTTTGAAACATTCGTTTTCTTTAGAAAAAAATAATCTGATAAATTTTTCTTTCTCAATTTTTTACAGCTCTTGCAAGCTTAGGATATGAAAAGAGCTGTGTGTTGTTCAATTGTGCAGCTTTAGCTAGCCAGATTGCAGCAGAGCAGAACCTGGATAATGATGAAGGATTGAAAACCGCTGCTAAGCATTACCAGGTATGCAGAAAAGTAGTTTATACATAATGATCAACACTAATTTGGATTCAATGGAAAATAATTTTCACTTAGGTTTATAGATGCTTCTTCACACAACAGATGTTTTCTTGAAAAGTAATGCACTTTTTAAATGAATTGATTTTTAATGTTGAAGCCCTTAGATAAACTACCTATAGACCAGGTCTATTTTTCCTCATCATTGTATACCCAGCACCTAGCACAGTGCCTGGCACATAATAGAGGCTCAGTAAATGTTGGCTGAACAAATGATTAAATGTCTGAGATTAAATCTCAGACATTTATGGTAAATCCGTTTTAAATCAATGCTAATAATTTGTACATTATTTTTATTTTCTTAGAATAAGACACACCTCAGATTTCACTGGTGTCACAAAATTTAAGACCTCTTCTCAAGAAAATAAAAGTTTAACTTTGAGCCTTGTGGAGAGGTCATATTTAAATGTGGTCATGTTCTTAAGTTGGCCAAACCTATATTTTAGGTACTAATCATTTACTAATGTGGCATGTTATTTTGTGACGGTCGATTATTATTTACTCAGCTTTTATTTTTTTATTTCAGTTAAAAGAACAATAAGTGGTCATTGTTAAGTAATGTCACATAATCATGTTTTCATATTTTATATTACAGTTTACAAAGTGTTCCCATGTACATTATTTGACTCTCAAATAAACCTTGTGATGTGTGTCATGTAATGTCATTCCCATTTTACAGATGAGACTCAAGGTCAGAAGTATTAATAAAGCAGTCCATTTGGGTTTTAGGTGTTCTGATTCCAAATTTCATCTAATCGCAAGTGGTCCTTTCACTGTCCATGAAATTTGGTTGTCTCAGAAGTAGAGTCTGATGTTTCTCATTGTTTAAATTCAGGGGAGAGGTGAAGGGTGCTGTTCTGGGAAAGTCAAAGGGAAACATACTTTAAGCAAACAACGTGCTCCAAATTGTGGTTTGCCGTGCAATTTTGGGTGGGCATAGATGAGAAACATTATGTACACATGCTATTTCGTTTTGAGGCCATAAATGGCAAATATTTTAAAATGTGAAAATGCAGTAAAATTTTATATACCTTTCTTTAACTGTAACTCAGTTAATTGGCATCTGAGATCTCAGAGGTCATTCTGAATTATTGAGGAAACATTCCATTCTCTGAATGTTCACAGAAGGTCACCTGGTATCATGGAAAGAGAGCTGGTGGTATTCGACCTGGGTCCTTGTCTGTGCTGCTTGCCACCAGAAGCTTTGTGCCCCTAGACAAGTTCTTTGATCTCTTTAGGCTTCCAGTTCCTCTTTTGTAAATGAGAGAGTCAGATCCCTAGCTGTCCTAGTGTATGATTCTCTTAGTTTACTAGTTCTCTAGTTTACTAAGAGAATCAGGTCAGCTGGTCATTCCTTGCAGATACCCTAGTTTTACAATACTTCATGACTACAGAAAACATGATGTTCATTTCAATACATATACCTTCGAGTTATCTCTGTGTAGACTACTTATCTAATCATGATATCTTTTAATTCCAGACTAACTTCTTCTTCCTTTTTCTTAGTATAATTTGTTTCATAAAAGCAAAGTTATTTTAGTATTAACTCAACAAAATATAATTGGGATGAAATATCAAATGGGGAACATTTCACTAGGGAGTTCTGAAGGCCAAACAGAAATCATTAGCAATGGATAGTAATGCTGTTTCTCAGAGGACTAAGTGTATTTACTATTTGGGGTTTCCCCTAATTATAGCATGTTTAATTATTTGAACAATGAATTTGTTTGGGACCAAAGCAAGAGCATTTCAGTAAAACATTTTAATGTTTATCCCTGCCTCTATTTTCATGTTAGTTTTGAGGAAATATATCTAAAAAATAAGCTTAATCAGTTTGTCTCATTTATTTTGTTTTCCCCTGTATTTTACTTTTAATCTTTGTTAAATCTCTTGTTACTCTATAGAGTTTTGGAAAGATACCTATTGTCTGTAGGTCAGATGTTTTTGATCTGTTTTGCAACAATATAAAAGTTTAAATATAGTAACTTCACTGAGTTAACATTTGAAATGATTTTTGTGTGTAGCAGTAGAAAATTAAATCAGTTTGAGTTCCTATAGATTTTAAAGAAATTCTTTTTCTCCCCTCTAGTTTGCTAGTGGTGCCTTTTTACATATTAAAGAGACGGTTTTATCTGCCTTAAGTCGAGAGCCTACCGTGGACATATCTCCAGATACTGTTGGGACCCTCAGTCTTATTATGCTTGCACAGGCCCAAGAAGTATTTTTTTTAAAAGCTACAAGAGGTAACTCAAATTTGTCCTTCATTTTGTTGCATGTGAAAAGAAGTGATAGACTTAAACTGAGAAGGACATTAGAATATAACATGTTCAATGTAGAGCTTTCTTTTTTGAAATTGTTACATGGACTTTTGACAATTTTCAGCACTCCTTTTCTGAACTTGAATGTAGGCGTGTTTAAGTTAGGAAATAGTTAGCTATTGTCTTTAAACATTGAATTTTGGAATGATACTTACATATGTTTGTAATATGTCAAACATTTTTTCAGCAAATATTTATTGGGTACTTACTGTGTGCCAGTCACTGTTATAGTTTCTAGATAAAGTTAGCAGACAAGCAAGGTTCCTGTTTTTAGGAAGCTTACATTTTAGTGTGGGGGAGATAATAAGCAAGAATTAAGTAGCCAGGGTAATTTCAGAGAGAAGTAATTGCTATGAAAAAATTTTGAGAATGGATTATGTGGTAGTGACTGGTGGTATGGCTATGGGCTAGGGATGTAGTGGGAGTCATGCTAATTTTATTAGTAGATTCATTAGTCAAGAAGGCTTTCTTTGAGGAGGTCCTGTTTAAACTCGACCTAAATGACAAGAAGGGGTCATCCAGGCAGAAGAGTCTTTGGCCCTATGAATGAGGGAATAAACAATTCTTACAAGGTATGTAAGTTAGTATGAGAGATTGGAATATAGGCTGTATATGTAAGTACAGAGAAATTGAAAACAAGAGAGCAGTCATTATGTGGAAGAGATACAAACTAGAATAATTTTTTCTTTTAAAATAACAGCTTGTATTGAGATATTCACTAAAATTCACCATTTTAAAGTATACAATTCAGGGTTTTTAGTATATTCACAGAGTTTTGCAGCCATCACCACTGTCTTACTTTAGAACATTATCATCGCCCCAACTATTAGCAGTCAATCCTCATTCCCACCTTCCCCCAGCTGCTGGCAACCACTAATCTATTTTCTGTCTCCTTGGATTTGCCTATGGAATTTATCAGTAAGGACTTTTTAAGATAAATGTGCAAACTTGTGATCTCAGTGTTTATACTGAGTCATATCAGATTATCTCATATTTATTTTAATTATAATGGTCAATTTAATATTTTATTCCAGATAAGATGAAAGATGCCATCATAGCTAAATTTGGTGATGCTTTCAAACAGTGTCAGTACAAAGATACTCTCCCCAAGGTCAGTTATTGTTTTTTATAAACACTTGGTTATTTCGCATGTAGAATTATTTAGACATTTTTGTGTGCAATAAGCAAGTTGAAAATTATGTATTATAAAGAAATTTGAAATTTTATTAGAGACATTAGAAGAATATATTCGTAGACATAGTTTTCTAAATTTAAGATGCATGAACAGTTCTTTTATTTCTAGGGGATGCTTTTGTCTTTACCCTTTACTAAACTTGTTTTTCCAAGCTAAACTCTTTCTGGAAAACTTCGACCATCTGTTTTCAATAATTTTATCAGATCAAGGCATTATGTAGATCTAAATCATTGGTGATTTGGTACAAGCATGTATGTACTTGAGCATGTTGATTATTTACACTTTTAATTATTGTCCTGTTTTCTTAAAGATGAATCTTAAAGCGCAAAAACAGACATAAAGGAAAAAGGAAAAGAAAACTTAAATTCATCCGATACTTTGTTTAGAATTAAATTTTGCCAACAGGGATAGAAAATTGGGCTGCTAATGAACAGCTAAGGAAAAGCAACCATCTTAAACCACATATCACAGGAAGTATTATGTTTTAATGTAAACTTTTCTGAAGTGGCACTTGAAAAGACTGTTCAGTGATGATCATTTGTAAATGGGAAAACAGATGACTAGACTAACAGGTAAATTTGAAATGATTAAAAAAGAAAACTTAGAATGAAATACGTTTCAACTACTTTCCTTCAGAAATGTTCAAGGAATTAGTTTCATCTATATTGATAGCATATGATATTTCTCACAAGATTTTTTGTAGAGGAGTTTTTTGATTCAGAAATCTTTGTGTATTACAAAATTGGAGACAACTTTGGGGTGAAGTAAAAATTCACATAAGTGCATCAACAGTACATGTTAGAAAATGAACAATAAGGAATTAATGTGAAGATTCTTATTTAAAATATACCAAGAGCCTAATAGAAATTTGTCTAGGATTCTTGGGTATTAATAGCCTTACTCTTAAAAAAGAGCCTTGGGATCTCCTCTCATCTTTTTTTCATCTGAAAGACTTCATGTTCAGCTGCACAGTGTACCGTTACATCCCGTTGGGCCATTAGTTCAGTCCTGTCACCGAGAGAAGAATGTCACCTACAAAGACTTGGAAGCCACCTCTGCAGCATTCTTGGTATTCCTTGAAAGTCTCCTGTTGAAGTACCAATTTGCTCCAGCCTTACCTTGAGAACTGGCATGAGTGCAGTTTGAGATTTAGATGTCTTTTATTTTTCCCTTTTTGCTAATAAAGCTCATAAGGTATTTTCATATTCTAGTTATAAAACTGGAATATCTGCAAGTAGTGATCCAGGAAGCTAGGAAATTATTCACTTGGAGACAGGAAAGCATAAAGGTAGTAATTCAGTTTTTGATTTTCTTATATTTTTGTTTAGACGGTGATTGTCAAGTATATTTCTTGGATTTTTTTATATCTTGTACTTCCTTAACAATGAGGTTGCAAAGTACGATTTGGCATTTTAGAAGAGCCTTTACTGATATAAGTGGTTTTCTGGTTTTAGATCTTTTAAAATTAATTTAGACTGGTATTATTTTCAAAACAAATTAGCGCAAAAAGATACTCTATCATATCATTAGTCATAAATTTCGTGCATTTGTCTGTGATGTGTTTTCGAGGATGTGATACTGAAGTGTTAGTGTTTATGTGACACTAAATCATATTTATATGGCTAAAAACATCTTTATTAGAACTCTCTTAGTATATGAATTAAAGTGAGAACTTACTTTATTGTCTTTTGTCTTTTAAACATGATGAAACAGTCAGCTATAGAGCAGTTTCACTAGTATATGTGAGTAGTGATTGTTTAGTTAACTCTAAGGGCTGGGTAAGGACTCATAAGAAAGCTTCTAAAGCCCTATGCTTGATAGTCCTTTGTGAATGTCCATTCTACTTCGCTTTCTAATAATGCATGCTTTTCTTTCTTCCTTGTAAACAAAATGTTGACTTCATGGCTCAATTAAAGAGAATTATAAAAACCTAAATTGGATTCAATTAATAGTTTAAAAAAACCCTTAATTTTAATTGGAAGAAAACAAAATTGAATTCGTAGACTACAGTCCATGCAAAATCATGTGGTCTTCTCTGTTTACACCTAATGACTAACCTATCTCTAAATCATTAATCAGGTGATTCTAATTTCTGTCTCCTTTTCCTTTTTCTTCCTGCATCCCATGTTGTCTGTGGTGGTTTGTCTGGTTGGACTCTCCCCTGGTCAGTATTTTTATTTCCAGGAGGTGTTCCCTGTCTTGGCTGCAAAGCACTGTATCATGCAGGCCAATGCTGAGTACCACCAGTCTATCTTGGCAAAACAGCAGAAGAAATTTGGAGAAGAGATTGCAAGGTTACAGGTGAGTCTTTTGGTGATAAATATTTAAGTAATTCGGATCTCCATTTTTTTTCCTAGTGAGATTCCCAACTGATCTTTATGCTGGGTTTTCATTTCTGTTCAATTGGTCTACGTGACTACTTCTATGCCAGTACCATGCTGTTTTGGTTACTATTGCTTTGTAGCATAATTTGAAGTCGGTTAATATAATGCCGCCAGATTTGTTCTTTTTGTTTAGTATTACTTTGGCTATTTGTGCTTTTTTTGGTTCCATACAAATTTTAGGGTTGTTTTTTCTAATTGTGTGAAAAACAAAGTTGGTATTTTAATAGGAATTGCATTGAATCTGTGGATTACTTTGTGTAATATGGACTTTTTAACAATATTGATTCTTCCAGTCCATGAGCATAGGATGTTTTTCCATTTGTGTTATCTATGATTTTTTTCACTGGTGTTTTGTAGTTCTTTTTGTAGAGATCTTTCACTTTTTTGGTTAAGTATATTGCAAGATATTTTATTATCTTTTCCAGCTATTGTAAATGGAATTAAGTTCTTGATTTGATTTTTGGCTTGGTTGTTATTAGTATTTAGAATTGCTTCTGATTTATGTACATTGATTTTGTACCCTGAGACTTTATTGAATTCATCTATCAATTCTAGGAGTCTTTTGGAGGAGTTTGGAGGGTTTTTAGGTATAGGATCATATAGTTGGCAAACAGGGATAGTTTGACTTCCTCTTTTCCAATTTGGATCCCCTTTATTTCTTTCTCTTGCCTGATTGCTCTGGCTAGGACTTCTAGTACTATATTGAATAGAATTGGTGAAAGGGGGCATCCTTGTCTTGTTCCAGTTCGTAGGGGGGATGCTTTCAGCTTTTCCCTATTCAGTACGATGTTGGCTGTGGGTTTGTTATATGGCTTTTATTATTTTGAGATATGTTTCTTCTATGCCTGGTTTGTTGAGGGTTTTTATCATGAAGCAATGTTGGATTTTGTTGAATGTTTTTTATGCATCTGTTGAGATGAACATGATTTTTGTTTTTAGTTCTGTTTATGTGGCGAATTACATTTATTGGCTTCTGTATAT